CGAGCTATCTTGAAAAGAACACAAACTGAAAAATGCGATAATGTTTCCCACAAATCAGAATCAGTAAGAGGGGGTGTTCCTCGGGGTTCTTGATGAGACCATATTATGATTTTGTATCTTTATCAACAACTTGCCAGATGTAAGACCATTCTTGACATCCCTCATTGATTTATTGAGATGATCTTTCAGCAGTTGCATCCAAGAATGGAACACAACCAAACCAATTATTTGTAGAAAACTCTATGAATCTTAACAAAAAGAAAGCGGCTACTGGTAACTGCAAGGAAATGTTCAAGAAAATTTTAATTTCTTTTCGCAATAATGAAGAACTAGAAATAAATGAAAATACAGGGGCGAACTGTAGGCTCGCACCTGTTTAGTATTTCATTTGCAATGCATTGCACCAAGTGTGATGCAGAAATAGTTATTAATTTCAAACGATTAACTTCTAGTTTTCAGCAAAAATTATCGAAAAGTTTTGAAAACCTATTTCTTAATTTGATGAAGGTACAAGCTTGGTAAAATCCATTCAAAGAAACCATATCTTAGTACATAAGCATATTCGTGAATCCTGTTACCGCTGGTGAAGAAAAAAATAGATGGAAGTAAACAGAGATTCAATGATTTTGTTGATAAGTTGTTTACCTCGAAAACGGTCTGTAATCCAATTTCAGAATACTTGGTAATGCATTTGGGAGCGAGCATTGGAATAACCTGACTTGTTCAAATCATTAAATTGCAAGGATGAAAAGTGCGAATCTAACAATATATACTGCAACACAGGTTTTTTAGATATATAAGTAAGGGTAGAAAGCAGTTTTATCGATGATAACGTTTGCATTTTCGAGTTTCTGTATGTAGTACAGGGTCGGATTTAGGGGGCGGGCGGACGCCCCACCCCCATCAGGGATTCGAGCCCCTGCCGACCCAAAGGGTCCCACCTTTGTACTATTATAAGATATCCAATTTTGGTGACGGAATCGAAAGATTTTCTAAAGGCGCTTCCGGCGCCAATATATATTCATTTTCAGGTTGCAATACGCTATTTTTGAGGTTGCATCGAAAAACGCATTTTTGGGTCAAAATTTTCCAACGCATTTTTTGAATTATTTTTACAACTTTTTGCCTGCGGCGCAGAAAATTTGGCCAAAACAGGGTCTTTTCAATGCTTTGGGAGAGCTGGGAAAATCAATTTCGTCGAACTTAAAAAAAAGGTCTACGGTCTACAAAACTTTCGAGAATTTTTTGAAAATCTGCACCCCTCCTCGAGAAAATCCTAGATCCGCCCCTGATGTACTACATTTTAAATAGGAAAACAGATCATGAGAATGGGCTCCAATTAGTTATGAACATAGCCAACAGCCAGCTAAAAAAGAGTCAATGCACGCAAGTAAACAGAAAAAAATACTGATTAATTTTTTGAAAAAATTTGAACTTTCGAATTTCTAAGAAAAAAAATTGATGCATTTTAAGCTCTTTGAACTTCTAGAACAATTTATGATCTAATTTTTGCTTAAATTAACACAATTTGAAAAAAACTGGATTAATAAAAAAAAGTTAAATATCACTTTCGAAACTAGACGTTGATCAAGTTTTTCGTGACCTTTACACTTTTGCTGTTCGATGATGAAGTTTGCCTTTCTTTTAACAAAAGAAACGAAGTGAACTTCAAAAAGAATCAAAAGTCCAACCGTATATATATATATTTAAAACTGTCCCATTTTCGAGAAAAATTGATTAAAAATTTTTGAGATTTAGTCCAACTCGTTATATGGAAAGTTACTCAGAGTTTTACGATAAAAATTTGATTTTACAATTAAAAAACAAGTTTTGGATGTTTCATTAAATGCTAACTAGCGTGTGACGTACCTCTGGTGCTTCAAATTTTTGACAACTCATGAAAAACCGCCTATATTCGAAACAAGATCTGCAGCCTTTTGGTGTACTCTGACAGCACCCAATTACAGGGTTGAAAATTTCAAACTTTATAAAGTTTTTTTTAATTCCGAATTTGAAAAACCATAAAAGCGTCATAAACTCAAAAGGCCTTTTGAAAAATTTGGAGGCCAAATTTGCAATCACTGGGAGTAACCTGACAGCACCCTACAATAGGGTTGGGAATTCCAAATTTGGTGAATTTTTTTAAACCTAATTTTCCTTAAAAAAATTGAAAAAATCATAAAAAAAGCTTCATACTTCGGAAAGCATTTGAGCAGTCGCATTTGGATGCAAGATTTGCAACTCCTGGGAGTACCCTCAGAGTATCCAAAGACGTGGTTGAGAATTTCATATTGTGAAACTTTTTAAATTTATGCTTTCCGAAACCTTTCCAATAAAACTGTAAAAACGTCAAGTAATCCAATTTGAGTAATCCTATTTGGAGGCAAGATTTAAAACTCCTGAGAGTTTCCTAGCAGCATCCAAATACAGGGTTGGGATTTTAAAATTTTGGTGACTTTTTAAAAATCTATTTTTACTGAAAACTTTGGAAAAATCATAAAAAAACGTCATAACTGAAAAACTATAGAGAATTGAGCAGTCATAACTGGAGGTAAAATTAGCAACCCCTAAGAGTACCCTGACAGCACCCAACTACAGGGATAGTAATTTCAAATTTTTAAGAAAAAAAATTCTGGAAAATTTTGAAAAAATTACAAAAAAACGTCATCTGAAAAACTACAAAGATTTGAGCAGTCATAATTGGAGGCAAGATTTGCAATATCTAATAGCACTATGATAGCCATCAACCACAGGGTTGGGAATTTCAATTTTTCAAAAAAAATAGTTAGTTTTCTGAAACTTTTTGGAAAAAATCATAAAAGACGCCATATCTACAAGAAAACTACAAGTATTTGAGAAGTCATATTTGGAGGAAAGGTTCGCAATCCTTGGGAGAGCTCTGACAGCACCTAATTACAGGGTCGGAAATTTTTCATGTTCTGGAAAATTTTGAAAAAATTACAAAAAAACGTCATCTGAAAAACTACAAAGATTTGAGCAGTCATAATTGGAGGCAAGATTTGCAATATCTAATAGCACTCTGATAGCCATCAACTACAGGGTTGGGAATTTCAATTTTTCAAAAAAAAAGTTAGTTTTCTGAAATTTTTTTTGAAAAAATCATAAAAGACGCCATATCTACAAAAAAACTACAAGTATTTGAGAAGTCATATTTGGAGGAACGGTTCGCAATCCTTGAGAGTGCTCTGACAGCACCTAATTACAGGGTCGGAAATTTCATGTTTTGTAAACTATTTTGTAAATTGAGTTCGTCATATCTAGTACGCTTAAAGGATCTGGGCAATCATAATTGGAGGCAAAATTCGCAACCCCTTGGGGAATCCTGACAGCTTGGGCTGCTTATTTTAAAACAGTGAAAAACAAACTGGAAAATTGAAATAAAAACTCTTAACCATTGCAATATACGATATAGCTTAAATGTGAAAAAAAAAATTTCGTTAAGCATGCAGAAATAATTCGTTGAAAAAGCTTAAACATGGCGAGATAGTGAAGCCCGCATTTGAATAAATAATAGATAGATTCTGGAAAAAAGTTTTCTCATTAAAAATATTGTGCAGAAGTTGAAAGTTTTGAAGTTTGTAATAAAACTTTTCTTCATTTTTCTGTTTGTTATTGATTTTTTGAAAACAAACGTAGATCTTGCCTAATCTACATATTTTCTACGAGATCGTATAGCTCGCGAAATCACATCAACCACTAAAAACGACAATTATAGAAAGAAAAGGTTGGATCATTCTGTGCTACTTGCAGTGATAGAGAATTGCCAATACGGCTCCAAACGAAAAAATTTAGTTTAAAAAGAAGAAAAAATGGTGACCGTATGTTCGGCCATTCGAATCAACACAGATATTCAGTGTCATGTTCAGCTCTTGGGTCTTTTCTGTTATACGGCCCAAAATATCAAACAGCTAATTGAGCTTCTGTTTTCATTGAACACGCTTAGATGTTTTCGCTGCTATTATTTTCAACCAATCAGATTCGAGCATCATGGTCAAACTTATAAAATGTCTGAAAGATTACTTTTTGGGCCGTATAACAGAGAAGACTAACCGCTCTTCAACCCCGTGGGCTTAAAAAGTGTGCTAGTGCTACTGAAAATTATGTAGACTTATCAAATGTAACTTTAAATCATAAAGCGTTGTACGAGGACGCCATTTTGAGCAGTACAAAATGCAGGTATTATGGAGGACATTCTGAGACGAAACGAACTGAGGGCAGCCACTTCAGATCTATTCTGAGAATCCTTAACAACAACAACAACTGCAATGCCAATTTTCGGTCAAAAGATGATCTCGTAATTTGACACGGATCTTGTTAACTATCCATCAAATCTAAACTTTCACATTTCAAAGAAAAAAATGGATGCTGTTTAAGCTCTTTGAATTTCTAGAACAATTTCTGATTGGCGTTTTTTTGATAACATTAACTCAACTCGAGAAAACTAGATCAAAGTTTTTATTCCGTTGGAAATGTAAAAATTAAATTCCACTTTCGAAACAAGAAATCGTTCACGTTTTTTTGCGCCATTTCCACGTTCGTATTTCCAGAGTGCTATTTACGTCACTTTTAGCAGATGAATTTCAATTGAACTCAAAAATTGCATTATACTTAAGTGCAACAATATTTTAGGACTTTTTCCTGAAAAAAAACAAAAAAAAATCAGCAAGACCTATATATAAGAGTCTTCACTACGTTCATTACTCATAATCAGATAAATTATGAGCTCAAAAATTCTATATCCAACCTAAAAAATGAGCACTCGGCTAAATTGCAAACAAGACTGCTCGTATCGGGACAAAGCCCTGAACGATCCGACTGCCCATTAATTGGTAACTAAAAGTTTTTGGTTAATGATATAATGACTAACTACGAACTTAAGGCTGATAATGCTTAACTCTAAGTGTTGAAAGTTGAGTAATGTTTTCCACCCCAGGCATTTATGTTCCTCACGTTTTTCGAAAGTCGGAACAAAAATTCCAGAGAAATCGACAGTGTAAATTTTAACTAAATAATCTACATAACAGAATATTGGACCATAAGCCCTAATTATATCATTTGAAATATTGACAAAAATTTGCCTTTGATGAAATATCTATATTCAATGGGAGTTTAAGCTACATGACCGATACAGAGCAAGCGTGATCAAGATCTATATTTTAACTAGACGAAACAGATGCCATGGATATGCCAGAACGTTCCGTTAGTTTCGCATTTAAATTCACTGACATTTGGAGCTACTGCAAAAAATGATTCGTTTTAAAACATATCGGAGCAATTTCATGTAGTCCGGATGCGAAGTTGAACTAATTCTGAAATATACAGACATCATAACAAAAATAATTCAAAAGCAAATGTAAAATCAATGCCAAAATCTTTACTGCATAACACAATGACATTTTAGAGAGATTTAACCATTAATTTTGTTCCGTAACGTGATACCCAAGGCCTCATATGTTTTCACGTAACCAAGTTTGGTCATTTCACAAGCGTCACGTTTCCAAACACCGTTTCAACCACTTTCGCCTGGCTCATTTTCTTCGCATTAAAATTAAGTACCCTTCCCCAGCCAAAATGTCATTAAATGATTTACTAAGGCAGTTATATGCACAATTTTTGTATTTATTACTTCTAACAAAAAAGCTAATCAATATCAGATGCGTGATTCAATTTATAGACTAGGAGGGCTCCACTTTGGGATGCAAAACCTATCAGATTCTTGCACGGGTGAAACTCGACGTGTTGTACATCTAGCAATTGGGGTTTACTAGTTGAGAGAAACGAGGAGTAACTTTGAGGTTGAATTTTGAAGGAAGAGACAGTTTTTCCTGAATCTAGATGACAAATATCGGCGTGGTAAGCGTTGCCTTTCAGGTAGGTCGTCGCGAACAATGATGACAAATGTGAGACTGCGATTCGCTGGTGGTTCTCCGGTAGTCGATGAGTTGTAATCGAATGAGGTTTCCTCAAATCCCAGAGCTTCACAGTTTCTGCATAACTCAACAGACAATTGTCTCTGTGACTTGTGAGGTAGGCTATAGATTTATTGTGTTCTCGATACAATACGCGATTCCGCTCAGACTGCCGAGTATCGAAAGTTTGAATCGAGCCATTGTATAAACCCAAATAGTGAACAAATGGATTGATGTCCGGTGCTTTCTCGTAGTAGTCGCAATGGGACAAACATCGAGTTATCGGAGTAATAGCATTAAACTCGTGCTCATAACGTTGAGTTTCTAGATCCCAAACTCGAGCAATATTTTTCGCTTTAGCGTTCAAATTCAGGTCAAAAGTTTGATCTGTGGCCGCAGCTAATAACTTTCCAGTCCAGCAGTTCCAGGAAGTTGCCAGTCTTTGGAGCGGTTGGTTAGGAGCAACTCTGAAGCCTCGAAACGAACACAAAACGCCTGATCTTTCATCTGTATTCACAGTTTGTGACCTTAGGCTGTCTCCCCGAGTGAGGTTGTCGTCCTCAATTTTAGAGGCATTTTCACTGCAATTAATAATTTTGAAGCAGCCCAGAGAATTTCCAACCAGAAGCAATGGCTTTTCATGAGAGTTCACAATGTCAGCACTGAGAAACTTCCTATCACTAGGTTTGGAACATGCAACATGCTGCACAGTGGCGTTGTCGTCATACCAAATTTGCAGATTTTTGGAATCAAGGTCAAAATTCAGCACGCTGTGGCTTCCAACAAGCATTGCAGTGTTCTTGTAGGGCTCAAACTGAAACGAGAGGAGCTGATTTTTAACATCTGTTGATGATCCGAAAGTCGAGTTATCCTGGACTTGTAAAACTGCAGTAACCTCTCCCTTACGGGACAAATCCAGCTTCCTCTTGCTGGCCTTTATTCTCCATTTCGCGTTGCTCCTGAACATTTTTAATTTTTCGATATTGTAAAAAGATTCTTTTTCTGTCGGAGACAGGTTTGCAGATGACGGCATCTGAACATTTGCCTTTGCAAACGGCCATTTATGGAAGGGTTCCAACATCAGTTGCGAGTACTCTTCAATAAAACCAGTGCATAAATACCCTGCAGGATTCTCTTTGTGGTAGTAATAGGTCTCGTCCTGGCGTTGATTGAACCTCACGTGCTGCGATTTTCCCTGATTAGCAGTAGGCTCTTCCTCCAACAAGTTTAACCTAGATGTACTTGACGTTGGATCATCACAGGAGTTCCCTTTCTTCCTCAGACCACTACTATGTGGTATCAGAGAATGGCTCGGAGGATTCGTGCAACTGTCGCTCCTTAGGATTCCCCTAGGAGGTTGTGAGTTCTCTTTATCCTCGGAGGCATGGACTCCTTTGCTCGCATCCGATATCCTTTTCAACACCTGTTTAGCAATGTCACTCACAGATCCACTTGGATCGTTGACCAAACTGATCAAAGTGTCCCATAGATCTTTATATTCTACTGTTTCAGTTGCACCAATTTGATTAATTGCGGGCATGCTTTGGTTGTTTCTTCTCAGAGTTGTCGGGGTTTGAGCACAGGCATTATCGTTTCTTCTTGAGTCTCCGTCTTTAGTCGGACCATTTGTACCCACAGATACCTTTTTCATTCTAACTGCAGGGGGACCGTTCGTCGGCGGAGTCCCAACATGAAAACCGTTACTTGCCCCATTGATTGTTTCATCATCAGTTTCATTTGTTTCTTGAAGTGAGGATGTCATTTCGTTTTCTCGTGGCGAGTTGTTCAACCTTCTGATATTAGATTGATTATCACAGTCATTTCCATTCACAATGTAAAAAGACTCCCCATTGCGCCAAAATGGTGAAAGATTCCCAGTCATTGCAATTGAATCTTCGGAAAAACTAATGACCAACTGTTTCCACTTTGCTTGGAAAATCTTTTCGTTTTCGAGAATAAAATGAGCCAATGATACAGCCAGTTCTTTACGTACCATCTCACTAACATCAAACCTGCACCTGATGATCTGGTAAGCTATCTTTTGATCTGTATCATCCATTTGAGCGTCTGTTTTTGGCATTGTTTTCCCTTGCTCAGATGTGTCGCTGTTTTTGCTATTCTCTTTTACAACATTGCTATTTTGAACGAAGGTTCCCAACGCACACAGTGTCGCTGTTCTCAATTCCTCGTGAGGACTTCCCAGCATTTCAAACAAGTTATCGAGGATGGTGGTACGGAGCGCTGCGCGTCTTGCAACGTCGCAGCTCTTCCATAAACTTCCTAAACAGATGATAGTCCACAAGTGGAAGAGAGGATAGTCTGTTTCATGCAGCTGTTGTTCACACATGGGGATAAAACTGAGCTTGTCTTCGGCGCAGATGGCCCTAACTTCTGGCAAGTGATTTAGCATACGGGAGATTATATATGCTGCCAGTGTTTTGTGGAGATTACTGAAAGGCGGCTGAGTACTGCACATGATTTCCTGAAAACGAATTTCGCAACCATAAACTTATATTTATCCACAACAACTTCAACAAAAAGATAACTAAATGGTCAGCCGTTTAGTTGCTGAGGTATAATCATAATCTAATTGTGTGGTAAAAAGATATGCGATTGAAGGGCGATTTAAAAAATGATATAAATTAATAGCTGAAAATAAGTGTGATGCAAAAAGGGGTCGTCGGAGGTTTGATCGCTGATGAAAAAACAAGCTGATAAATCACTTTTTACTAATCTGAATCGCGCTTTGCTACCGCTAAATGCTGTGGCTAACCGCAAACGAAGAATTTCTTCAAAAATGTTCGTAGTATTTTTCAAATCGTTAGAAAATTAGCGTTTGCTCCATGCACGTGAATCATAATTTTACTGCTAACTACCGCAATTCAGTGTTTAAAACAACCTTCGCTAACGCTATCGCGATCACATCAAGGGTATAGGGGTTGGAGTACAAACGGAAGACATACTATCAAGTACCGACAAAACGAATTTGAACCTGGCAAAATCAAGGATGCTAAATTCGTCTAAGGAATGTTTCCTAGCACTTACTTTAAAGCTGCTTATATACATCTCTTTGGTCATTTCCAGGGATGAATAAAAGGAGGGATCCAGGGCTATGATCTTGGCATAGATACACAACAGGGGTGGCAGGGTATCCGGGGTAGCAGTTGAGGGAGTGGAAAGAAGCCGTGCTATATAGGGAAATACTCCAACGCTCATTGCAGACATCACGGAACGCACATCCACGTCGAGGAATTGCTTCAGCAATTCAAGAGCACGAGGTCTGTGATTCTGCGCTAACAGCACCTACAACAAGAAAACAAAGTTAACAGTTTAAATTTTTCCGTCAGAACATAAAAGATGTAATATTTGTAACAGATTTCGATAGACAGTTCCGTTCATTAAAATGCAGTATGCAAATCAACTGATTTGAAATCGGCATTTTTGTCATGCATTTAAAATTATTTTCTCGGCCCAAGGACCAAACAATAGCACATTTGAAGCCCTGTTTGATCAACTGAGGCTAACCGCTCTGGGGTGCTGTATAACCTAAACAGCACATAGGAATGTACACACAAAATTTAACAGCTACCGAATACACGAGAACCTATATTCAATCTATCGGAAATATTAGATTCATGAACTATTTATAGAACACAGAGGCAAAGCGGAGTTTCGCACTACAAAGCATTGTAAGCTAGCGGACCAAAAACGCGAAGAAAGATCCTGCATCGATGAAAATCTACATATACAAAATTTTCCTACGACGACAACCAATCCGATAATATTGTGCTAGACGCGTGAAGCCGGAAACAAATTGTTGGCATGAAAAACTTTGTAAAAAAGTTCAAAATGCTGTAAAATTTTGAAAATATTAACTCAAACACCGCCACTCTCGGGAAACAGGAAGGAGCAAAAATATCTTTTCCTTTCAGAAAAGAAAACCTTTTAAGCGAAAAAAAAAACAAACAAAAAATATAAGGAAACTAAATAGAATCAGAGATACTAGATGTACAAATAGCCAGAAGTAAATCGAAACTCCTCATTTCAAAAAAAAAACTGCTTAAATTTGAGGAAAAGCCAGCGCCGTTGCTACAGCCAACAACGCAAAAATAGACAACCGACAGACCAATTTTGCAAACGAACAGGTCCTGGTCGGTTTCAAAATCAATGCCTTTGTTATCCAGGACAAAGACATTATTACCTCCATGCTAAGTAAGAGTATGCTACGCGTAATAAAGCCATGCCCTGTATGTCATCATTACTAGCTCGCAATCTTGCTAGTGTGGTCAGTAGTTCCTAGTATTACCACCAAGTAATTAGAAGTTGGAATTTTCAAAAAATTGAGCATGTCGGCAGGATAGATAATTCAGTGATTTTGTTGAACAAGCTGTTAAATTGAAAAAAGTCTATTCCGACTTGATAACGCTTCGCAGGCGTAATTAAAGGGCGCGTTTTTCACCTGAAGAACAATGGGAAGCAGACTGGGCTTCTGGTACCCTGTGGTTCTGATTTGAGTCATGAAAGTCTCAAACGCCTTCAATTGCTCACTGAAGAAGGGACTGAACACGTATTCCTTCTTTTCGCGCGGTGGCTCCTGTGACTGTGAGGTGGACGTAGGAGACAGAATGTAGGGAAGCTGTCGAACACAGAAGTCGCACACCATGTCCCATGCTTTCCACATGGGGTGATTGGCAGTGTCTGAACAATTCACAGGGTTGTTAAAAATGAGATCATTTTGACACAGAGGTGAAGCGGAGCTTCGCGCCAAGTGCGACACGACACAAATAAAACATTGCAAGGAAATGAACAGAAAATGAGACGGAAGCCACTAAGTCGACAAAAAACCTTTAAAAATGTCCAAAAAAACTTGATACATTTGCATTGAGCTAAGTTCAATTTGAGGAAACACGAACTCCAGTTTCAAAATGAAGTATTCAGAAAAGTTCAAAAGACTCACAACTTTGATTTGTCCATTCCTAAATTTATACTTTTGTTGAAAAATTCAAGAGATTAGTTTAGATTTATAGTCAGTTATTTCCTGTGATTTTAAAAGAAAATACTAGCGTGCAACGCACCTCTGGTGCTTCTAACAGATTTTAAAAATATGAAAGATAACTTAACAATAAATGCAACCGTGACAAAAGAAGGGGACTTTCAACAACGCTTTTTATTTCAAAAATTGTACAATAAAAAAAATTTCAATTTGAAGTTTCTTTTTAAAGTAAAATAGTCAAATCTCCAAAATACTGGGTTTCATAGCTTCGCGTTTTACAAAACCGAAACAAAATCTTAAGATGGCCGACAGCATACAAATGCACTTTACATATTTAAATAAGCATGTGAAACTATTTTTCCAAACAATTACTAAATTCATAACAGAGAATCTTGTTCAACCTAATTCTTTATTTTCACAGAGAGGCGAAGCTGCGCTTTGCAAACACTAGCGGAAACACAATAAAGAAGCAGATTTATAAAGTGCAAAAGAAACGGTAGAAATAGGTCTCGAATTAGTAAAACTTTGCTACGTATGGGTTTCGATCCTGCGACTCCGAGTATTGGAGTCTCACGCCCTGCCCTCTCGACCACGGACGCCTAACCGATCAACACTAGTTACAAATAAAACAGCTACATATGCTAACAAACTGCCAATGCTACGCAGCATAAGTGGCACCAATTACAATTAGACACTATTTTGCGAGTAAAAGTTTGGTAAATAAAAAACTGAAGGCATCCACACTAATTTTATCCAAGCAATAGGGTTGTGCAATAAGGAATCCCAGCAATAGGGTTGTGAATTTCCAATTTACTGAAATTTTTCAAATCCAAGCTTCATAAAAAACGTCGTATCTCGGAAACTAGAAACAATTGATTGCAGGCAAGATTTGCAAACTGTGAGATTACCTACAGGGCTGAGAATTTCAAGTTTTGCAAAAACGTTCAAATTAAACTTTCAGAAAATCTCGTGAATTAAAGTTTTTTGAGTGTTCAATTGGAGTCCAAATTCGCAAACCCTGTATAGAAACCCAGACCGCGTTTGGGTTGCTAAATTCAAACTTGGTGAAGTAAACACGAATTCAGAATTTCTTCAGCGTTGCAATATAAGATACAATTTAAACATGAAAAAGCTTTTTGGTTAAACATGCAACAATAAAACGTTGAAAAATCTTAAGCATGGTGAGATAGTGAACCCCGCATTTAAATATGTAATAGATATTCCAAGCAAATCATAATTACCTTCAGGAAAATCTGGCTCCGAGCAAGGTTTACAATTGTATGATTTCAAAATTCTGACTGCGAGAAGAAAGTTTCTAGAAAGTCCTGCGATTAAATTGTCCTGTCGAAATAGCCGCTGGAACAAGGAAACTGGTAGAACAGACCAACCTATGGTATCTGTTACGGCAGTGAAGATCCAGTTCAATTCACCTAAACATTGTGAGGCTCTATCACATAGGAAAATAAGAAAAAAAAACTATGCAGAAAGCTGCAGGCCTGTTTTGTTAAAAACTACTATGTAGAAAGCTGCATGACGGTTTTGTTATACGCTACACAACGATAATCCTTCGACAGTTTATCAATGAAACAAGGTTTTCGGCTAGGAGAACAAGAAATAGAGATCCTAAAGTTAAGGTTGATTAGTAGTGATCAATTAAGTGTAAAATCGAAAATCTGACTATGTCTCTAAAGAGCAGCAAGCATACCTAGGGGCGTTCTTCTGTCTGTTGTCTTTCCTGGAATGTTGTCAGTACTCTCGGCAGTTATTCCAGGAGGTAAGCAATCTGGATTCTGCATGCAGTACCATCTTAATGCAATTTTTATGGGCGTTGTGAGGCAACTTGTGAAAAGATCGGCAGGAAGCTCAGGATTCATAGGCAGAATGTCATCACGACCACAAGCACCAAAACAGATGACGTCGAGAGTGGGATCTGCTTGTAGACATATATTTTTGAAGGTATCTACAATTAGACCGGCATTTGAGCAATCGAACACGTACATTGTTGGTCCTTGCAGCCATTTATTCACATCGAGCACACACATTGGTATGTATTGGGTAAAATCTCTGTTGAAAACCCAGATCTCGCCATTGGCAGTAGGCTTCGGAACTCCGTGACCATTGTAATGAACCAGGACTCGGTCATCTTTTGCATTTTTGCGGAGCTGAACACATGCTTTTGACACTGTATCACTGATTGGGTCAGTTAAGATTTTGAATCTCGCCCTCTGTTGCATTCGTTCATACTGTTGATGTAGGGCATTCCCTGCATACATTAAAAAATTGATTAATTCTAGTTCACATAAACTAACGAAAGATGAAAATTGCCCCATAAAATGTAACTCATTGCCCCATAAAATTTTTAATATTTAGGGTATTTAGTTTTTGTTTAAGTAGTACAGATATTTGGAATTTTCAATAACTTATGCAAAGAAAATTAAAGAATTATGCATAGCCTACAACAATTGTCTTCTAAAATTGACATCCAAAAAAATATTTGTTTGTCCAACAACGGACGTTATCCAATCGCTTTGCTCGCTCGAAACTAGAATAAACAAGACCGCTCGTATCAGGGCGAGGCCCTAAATGTTCCGACTACCTCTTAAAGTCTATGGAGCAGTAATAACATGAAAAAATTTAATGTAATAAATAAAGATGATTTTTTTAATTTGAGATGTTTTGTGAAAATTATCCCCCCACACGCCATATAAAGTACAAAGTGATAGATTTCGCTCCTAGTAACAAATCAATTATGGCAGTAATTTCGAGCGATTTCTAAGACGGATTAAATCTCCGCTTACGCGTTAATAGCGCAATATATATCGCGCGTTAATTGTCCTTGGCAATCTTTAAACCCCAATAACTTTACAAAAAAATAATCACAGGTAAAATATCTTTTCAAATTTAAGCTCAGGACAACAATGCCTTTTGAATGATATAAAAAACCCGTCAAAAACGGCTAGTTAAAAAGTTGAAAATTGTCTGAAGAAAAAAACCCACCCGGAGCACAAATACTCCGTTACTTTCGTTACGAAAGTCGGAACAATAACAAATATTTCCTACCGGTTTTTCTCAACACTAGGACATTGTTTTGATAAAATTGTGAGGTTGATCGAATCAGGACTGAAAGGGCTTTAAATTGATATAACACTCACAACTGGAGTACAACTAACACTTCAAGGCATTAATAAAAGCTTAAAGCCATACAGTGCTGATTCAAATTAAACGGGATAAAATGAACAAAACGTGAATTTTCAAGCTTCTTTTTCTCAATTTAGGTTCAGATTAGACAAAAAGTGAAGAGAAGAACAAGGGCTGCTGAGAATTTCATCAGAATTAATATGGTGCAATTTTTTGTCCGAAATTCTCAACTAAAACTTTACCCCAAAAATGGGTAATTTTGGCTTTTTTCAATTAATCAAGAATTACGCTGAAACTACTTAGTTAATTGATGAGAAATAAAAATCACAAGAAGCCTCATACACAGCTCAACAAAGTTCTAGAAAGGTTAAATCTCCAAAATTTGAGTAAATTGGTTAAAATTTGTTTTTAAGCAAAGATTTTGGGTTTTATATAGTAAAAATCACATTTCTTGACTATCAAGCAAAAATATTTTCTCTTATACAGGTTTTTGGAGATTTAGCCCTTCTAGAACTTTGTTGGGCTCTGCAGGAGGCTTCTTGTGATATATATTTCTCATCAATAAACAAAAAATATCAGCGTAATTCCTGATTAATTGAAAAAAGCCAAAATAACCCATTTTTGGAGTAAAATTTTGGGGGGAAAAGCATATTAATTCTGATGACATTCTAAGCAACTTTTGTTCTCTTCACATTTTGTCTAATCTTAACCCAAATTGAGAAAAACGCGTTTGAAAATTCAAGTTTTGTTCGGATAATTTAAATCAGCACTGTATTATAAGCTGGCTCGTTCGCTGTAGTTGTTTGAAATTGAGCTAAAAACAAAAATATCAAACCCTTTTTTTTTCTTGACACTTAAACTTCGTTCGAATCACAATTTTTTTTTCGGAACAATTTCAAATTCGGTGAGATGATTGTAGTTTTGCCTCCGTAAGCCAGGAAACCCATCAGTTCATTTGCGAAAAAAAAAACATATTTTGCAAAAAGTATACAACTCAGTAACTTTCAAATATACAACAACACGAAGAGCAAAAAAAAACAAACGCACCAATTACTTCTGCTGGTTTTTGTTGAGCAATCTGGAGTGGGTTTTGCCAACATTGCATCCGAGCACAGGGACTTGGACGGATTATATCTGGCGGATCTACACCGACGTGCAAGCACATAACGAGTGCAACATAAACAGTTTTCTTTTTCTCCAAAGGCTTCCACCAGCTCGTTTCAAATGGTAATTGTGTTGCTAGCTGTTTTCGATGCAGATGTGTGAGGTAAGTCGGAGCATCCCAGCAATAATTCTCTTCGTTTTCTTCTGCTGAATCAGGTTGAATAATGAAATAATTCGTGTCTTCATAGACACGATTTCTATTCAACGACATTATCTACATCACTCTCTTTAAAAGTTTATCTACATCATTCTCTTTAAAATTAACAATAAAAACTGCGATACAAAATGGCCATTGCTACAGACACTAAATATTACAGAATTGTTTCCAGAAGATTCGCTCATTGTTTCATTCCCTGCTAAAATTATGAGAAAAGAGCAGGGACAAACAGATGGACATAAACACAGAGAGGAAGCAGAGAACGAGCGGAAAACTTCAAAAATTTCCGACTAATCAAAATTATACATTTGTAATTAAGCAATACAACGTAATCTTTCATACCATTTTCGTAAACATTTCTGAGATATTTCAGTTTTTTATTCTTTAATTGTTATAATGTTTCATTTCGGGAATTAATCTAAATCTGACAAGTCAGTTTTTTGAATTTTTGGCATTTTAATACATATACTTATGTGACATTCGACCATGTGACATTCGACCAGAATGGATCAAAATGCAGATTCAGCTGATTCGGAAATTTAGCAGCGAACCTTCCGAATTGGCGATTTTGAAGGAATAAGTGCGTTATTGGAACGATTGGCCAATGTAACATTCGCCCGGAAGATACATATCGACGGAATGTGCCAGTCGGTCATGTTTGGAAGTTTGACCTTGAGAAAAGCAAGAGCACTTAATTTTGGGGTGAAATTTAATTTTTCAAAAATTCGAATGGAGCCTGTCATGCACGATTTTCTCGCGATAACTGAAAACCGAAAAAGAGAAATCAGAACAATCGAGTGACAATCGCGGGAAAGTTGCAAGATAAATCACTAGGAAATTGCCATTCGCAATTTCCGAAACAATAATAATCTAGAGTAGAGCTGTCCTATTTGAAATAGAAGACAGAGTGTTCCTGAGAACTGGACAATTATCCAACTGGTCAACTATTCGAACTGGACCAGAGTGAACCTTCGGTGGAAAGGTGGACAGCTTGAGTGTCCCAATGGTCCACATAAAACTGCATTCTAGAGTACAAACTTATTCCTGTTATTGAAACTGACAAACATTAAACTCATTTAGTTACACTATTTAATTCTTGAGTTGCTTACCGACTTAATTACTCCCAATTCTTGAGCGTGCTACAATGTGAGTACCAATTTAAATTTCTAGAGTGTGTTTTATAATTGTTATGTTGAGGTAAGGCGAGTTTTAGGTTGATCCATCTGAAATGGATCAAAGTTCCACTGTCTAATAAAAAGTAACTTAACGGATTGTTCCGACCCGGTTTTTAACGGCGTTCATGTATTTTGGGTATCTAGAGACCTAAGTATGGGGACGTTCTTAATTCTAGAGTGGGGGGATATTTTAGTAGTAGCCTTTAAGCTGTAACGGGTCGTAGTCTCATGTCACAAACGAACCGAATTGGCTCCGACTGATTTGAGGTAGACAAACACAAGAGATAGTGTCCCTGACTCTTGAGCCAATAGTTATAGGGCCTATTTTTCTTAAGCCTCATGTGTGACTGCAGTAGACGAATGTTACATAGTGTTTTTATGGCGCTCCTGGGTGTTTACGACATCAAGACTACGGAGTCGAACCCACTTGAGACAGCTTCGGGCTGAATGCCCATTCTAGAGTACCGGCGGTGCGGTTCGACAGGAACGTGCAAACCTTCAGGTTGTACCGTGATAGCTTTTTAAGAAAACTCGAGAAAACTTCCTGGTACGCTCTCCGAACGAGGCTTAGCTAACCGAGTAAAGGGGGGCAACTAGGGGGACAAAAACACGAGCAAAAAGACAAAAAGCAAAACAAAAACCAAAAAAGAATAGAAAAAGGAACAAAAACCATAAAACGAAAAAAGACAGTGACTTTGACACCAGATTAGTTGGATCAAACCTTTATATTAATTAAATAGTATACCCATATTGTTTTACAAGTTCGATCGTTTCGATCAACCTAGTAATTTAACCCAGTAACCTTAATAAAGAGCCCGAGTGTGGGGCGTTGTCAAGGGTTTTCAGATAGCTTGGAACTTAGCTGGACAACAAGGGGACTTGACTGGAAGAGGTGACCAGCCGAGTGGGAAAGTGGTTCAGGAGCACTTGAGCTGAACCAATAGGAGACTCGACTGGAAGAGGTGACCGGCCGAGTGGGAAAGTGGTTCAGGAGCACTTGAGCTGAACCAATAGGAGACTCGACTGGAAGAGGTGACCGGCCGAGTGGGAAAGTGGTTCAGGAACACTTGAGCTGAACCAATAGGAGACTGGACTGGAACAGGTGACCAGTCGAGTGGGAAAGCAGCCAAGAAGGATTTGGCAGATCTCGAGTTCGCAAGTTGGGCAGAACGGGTATCGTTAAAATCCAAATTACATTATAGGAGATAAGTGTAAAATTGGATAAGCGAAATCCCCCGGTTTTGAGGAACGTTTTTACTTAAGCAGGCCTGGAAACAGGTCTACGGTTTTCTCTTGAGAGGTTTAGCACCCGGCGCTTAAGGTAATTTTTAGGTTTAAGAAAGGGGGCTAGAAAGGGGGGAGGTTAGAAGGGGGGCTGGTTAGGTTAGAGGTTGGCGGCTGTAAATTGTAAAAAAGGGGGAAATTAGAGTGACTAATTAGTTGACATCGTTGATTTAGTTACATTAGTCATCAACACGCGTTGGTAATAATAAGTGGATATCGAAATTTGAACTTGAGTTAAGGGAGGTACCCTGGTCGGATTGGTAGGGGGGAACGGACGTAGACAATTCTGGTGATACCCAATAAGATTATTAGTTGGGGGGAGGAAAACGCGTGGCAATTAGGTACCAGACAAATTTTTTTTTCGACAAAAGGTAGACATTGGTCACCTTTGAATTTTAGGTGGGCTCATCTTTCCGTTTTTATTATTTTTTCTAGCTTGGATTTTTGTTGCATTTTGGTGAGGATTGAGTTTAGTTTTTATACGAACAGGTGATCACAAGATACCTGCGCACAGGTTTTGGTCTCAAGTTGCTTGGAACATTGAAAGAGAGGTAATTAAAAAGAAATAAGAAAAAGGGGGGTCAGCATTTGGCTTTTAAGAGAGGGTTTTTGGGAAAATTTTACTAGAGCTTGAGTGGTGGCACGAGTTACAGTGAATCAAGAAGTCCCCATAACGAAGAAGAAAGAGGTCCCACCGCTCAGACACTTGTCAACAGTCTTGGGACAGTGCCAAAGAAGTCTTGGGACAGAGCAGTCTGGGGACAGTCTTGGGACAGTGCAGTCCTGGGACAGTGTTGGACCAGAACAGTCTTGATACAGTCTTGGGACAGTGGTCTTGGGACAGTGGTCTTGGGACAGTGGTCTTGGGACAGTGGTCTTGGGACAGTGGTCTTGGGACAAGGGTCTTGGGACAGGGTCTTGGGACAGTGGTCTTGGGACAAGGGTCTTGGGACAGGGTCTTGGGACAGTGGTCTTGGGACAAGGGTCTTGGGACAGTAGTCTTGTGACACTAGCCTTGGGATAGTAGTCTTGGGACACTAACCTTGGGACACTAGCCTTGGGACAGTAGTCTTGGGACACTAGCCTTGGGACAGTAGTCTTGGGACACTAGCCATGGGACACTGGCCTTGGGACAGTAGTCTTGGGACACTAGCCTTGGGACAGTAGTCTTGGGAAACTAGTCTTGGGACACTAGTCTTGGGACACTAGCCTTGGGACAGTAGCCTTGGGATAGTACTCTCAGGACAAGGGTCTTGGGACACTGACGAAGTACTGGGACAGTACCGAACAGTCTTGGGACAGTAGAAAGAAGCCTGGGACGGTACAAAGATGAGTAGGGACGGTAACTGGAAGTCTTAGGACGGTATAAAAATTGAAGTAAAATTACAATAAGTGTTTGAGACAGATTTAAAACAGAACAACACTAGTCGGAACCCGGTACGGTTGGGACCACAAATAAAGAAAGTTTCAAGAAAGGTTTTTATCACGTTGTATATTTCCTTTTAAGAATTCTTTTTCACAAAAGATTTTATTCGTAGAATAGAATTGTGTATATAATAATATTGTAAATACGATCAATTGTTAATAAAAATAATGAGACGGAGTAGGGTACCGGTGCTAGAAAAAAGGTCAAGTGGATCAAACACGAAATATAACTCGTCGCTGCGCGGAACGACATCAAGGGGCCCAGGCAAAACAAAAGATAACGTTTCAGTTAGCATGGTCAGCACGAGGAGTGGCACCGAGAGCAAGACGCGAGAAGATGCGAGGGAAAAACAGGTGGAGCCCACAATCGAAATCGACCTAGAGACACCAGACCAGAGCGTAGATGAAGTGGAGAAAAAGACAACGGAATCCACACCGATGCCCCATATGGAAGATCAAAATCCAAAAACCGTGGAGTTTTCGCCGATAGACGCGTTGGAAGACACAACAGGCAATACCCGAGAAACGGTGAAAGATGACTCTCAAGTAAAGAAGACATTTTTTACAGAAAAGTTGGCGATGATGGTCGGAATGAAATCGAAAGACAACACGGCCGAAGAATCACAGACTGGAAGAGCACGAACATTTGGGACAGTGAGCACGAAGGCGACAGAAACCGACCCAAAGGAAGAACAAGCAAGAACAGAAGAGGCAGCCGAAAACAAGACAACGGCTGTTCATGAAACAGCTGCTCTTGAGCTTGGCGACCTGATGACAAAGCTAAATCAGATCGACAAAAAACTAAAGTATAGTGAGGAAGATAGAAACCTGAGTTAAAATACAACAAACACGAATATCTGGATAGTCATTTTAACCTGGCTAAGGCGACAGACGAGAGACTCCAGCAGATGTCGGACAAGGTTGATGCCACCAATGAAGAACGAGATAAGAACATCAAAAAAGATATGCAACAGTTGAAAAACCGATATGATGATGTCAACAGCCAATTAGGTAGCCTGGAAAAGAGAATGGACATAATGAACAGGAATCAGGCCGAAAGTTTGAGTGCAATACAGGCGAAGTTGGATGCAATCTTGAGAAATTCTACCTCACAAGAAAGACCGGCAGTGGATCGCACGCAAGGCACCAGAGTTTACTTTGTGGAACCACAAAGGAACAAACGGCAATCGACACCGCTGCCTTTAAACCGGGAT